CAGGAAAAGGACAAGCGTTCAGAGGAAAAAAGGAGCTTTAAGTGCAAGAGTATCCAGGAAGTAGCCTGGCAGTGTGGAAAGGGAGCCTGAGCTGCAGAGAAGCACTGAAGCAAAGGCACCACCCGGAATGGGAGGCAGGGACGCTGGTGCAGTGTTGCTCTGCTCCAGGGGTGTCACGGCCACCTGTCCCCCTGTGTTTCAGAGGCCTCCTTGCTGAAGCTGTGTTGTGGGGTGGAAGAGAGAGGCTTTATAGGTCTAGAAACTGGCAAACTCTTCTCTCTGAAAGTCCGCATTGGTGTCCTGCTGCCAGCGTCTCTGGCCTGTGAAATGGGGAAGACGGGAAACTGCATCTGTATGGCTGGTAATGGGTGAAAGGCACAATACTCGCCTGCTGTAGCTTGGCCCTGTAGGAGTTCATTTCTGTTCGAGTTCTGCTGAATCATCACAAACTGCTGCTGGGGTGGAGGCTGCTGGGCACGTTCCTGTCGTAAGATCTGCAGGGGTGGAACCCAAGCTCCAGGAAAAATACTTCCACGATTCACCTATCTTTTTTTATAACACATGTCTGTTGGCAGCGGTGCGCTGTCTGTGCTCTGCCTCCCTGAAACTGGTGTTACTAATTCGGAAAAGTTACGGTAAGATGGGAGACTTTGCGCAGCTGAAGTTTTGATACCCGTATGGAACTCCCCGTATTGTTTAACATTGTTTAATGCGTCAGAAGGCCTCAGTGAAATGTTTACCTAGAATGTCACCTTCTGGGCTTAGAAATAGTTGATCAGATCTTAATAAAACCCATGACCTGTCTGCCTCACACAGTTGCTTTTACTTTCAATTTGCTTAGTTTACTTCGGAGCTAGGACCCCAGAGAAGGCAAACCCTACCTAATTCTGTTCTCTTAGGATCCAGGAAGCTACTAAAAAGTTGAAATAACCAGTGACAAAATCAAGCTTTCTACCCTCTTTGGAAAAGACCTATTAACCAGGGAGAATATTTTTTCCTCTTAAGCTCTATACTTAAAGTGAAGATATCTCAGAGACTTGATGCTGTTGAGCACACTGCTGTATCTGCTGTCTTTGGAGTTGGAAGAGGATTCTTTAGATCACACAAGTCTGGTCCAAAGTGAAATCCCTTCACAGAGTGTAAAAGACAGAAGGGTTGAGGCACCTTGCACATACCCCCTCTTGTCTCTCTAGTCTGCTAGTGAGTGCCCTTGGGCAGCAGCAGTGGAATGGCAGGCCTCCTTTCTTGGCCTCTTTTGTGCTTTGTCCTTCTGTGGACATCCTGGGTAGCCTGGGCAACGTGCTTTGCACTTTCAGCAGCATGCTTTGCACTGTGGACCGTTGGCTGTATGTGAGCTAAAAGCCAACTTAAATTTTGGCAGTGGTGGGACAATTTTCTGTGTTGTCCCAATAATACTCTCTGACTCCGTTGGCTGTTTTGTATGCAATATCCTTGAGAAGACTTGTCCTGAAAAAATTTGAAAACCCGACTGTGGTGTTCGAGGTAAAACTCCCTCGAGTTTCTAAGACCAATGTTGTGAAACTCAGCATTTCAGATAAGGAAGAAAAAAAGCATTCAGAGGAGGAGATAGGAGCATTAACAAATGTCAGCCATAGGCAGCTGGTGGTGTTTGCAGTCCCTCAGCTTTCACAGTATTATTCTATATTTGGTTATCTTCTTTTCTCAGTCTTGTAGCAATTTAAAAACTGAGTGCCTTCTGGAAACCCAGATCTAGTACTGAGATGTTCAAAACCACATGTAGGTACTTGGGGATCATTTTTATAGAGCCATATGCAAATGATTTTTTTCTGCCAGTGTGCTGACAACAGTTTCGTGCATTATTTGTTGTTTTAATGACAACTTTTTTTTTTTTTTCTTCTCCCACCCAGCTTCTTCCCTCTGTTTGCATGTGTGTTGGAATAGTGGCTGTTTTAATCATTGCAGGAGTTAAACCGACCTCCCACAAACATGGCAGATGAGGACCTTATTTTTCGTATCGAAGGGATTGATAATGCTGGATCGATTACAGCGAACTCTGGAAATTATCTTGATGCTGATAGTGATGATGAAGACAATTATTTTATCTGTCCAATAACTGATGATCCAGTTTCTAACAAGTCTGCTAGTAACAAAGTTGACAATTATTATAGGAACTTAGCAAAAACTGAACAGTACAGTTCAAGCTCTTCTCCTAGAAACTCTTTTAGCTTTAAGGTAAGTATTGGCTCCAGCCTTCAGTAAGGTTTTGGTTTTACTTAGTTTGCGTGAGAGATTCTCTAACTGCTTCATCTCTTGTAACTAACACTTTTCAGTAAAAAAAAAGCCATCTGTTTTTTCCAGACCTGCAGTTAATTCCATTAAGCCAATAGTCTGACACTGCCATTGAATTGCTTACTGTCCCTTTTAGTTCGGTGGGAGATCTTCATCAACAAAGGCAGCAGATTCCAGGTGAACAATTCACTGCCATTATGATCAAACCATTAAAAAAGCAACACATTGATTGGGAGAGTTAAAAGATCATACTTCTTGTAAGCTAAATTGGGTCCTGGCAGAAGATATTTTATTATGGATTTTGCCAAGCAGAGTTAACAATTCATAATGTTCTTATTTGGACAAATAAAATTGTCAATGATAAAATTGTAATGATAGGTTTTCAGGTTATAGTCCCTTCTTAGGGAGCTTTTATCATGTTGACTCTTTTGCTTGGGAATGAAGTGTCACACTGGCAGTAGTTCCTGACAGTGTACTCGAGCAGTATCTGACCTTTCTAAAATGAACAGCAATCACAGCATTGCAGAGAGGTCAAAGGGGCCATAGTTGGTGCTTCCTTGGCAGTGTGTCCTGTTCTGCTCGGCTCCCTTTGCACAGATCAGACCAGGCAAAGGGAGACAAACCCACAGGCAGTGGAGCCTCAAGAACGCAAGTGACGTTCACTCTATAGGTTAGGTATTCCAGATAGGGGCCATTTATGGTAAACCGGCATGTCTCTTGGATGTTGTCTAGACTGGAATTTAATGTGTTTTATTAACACATTTCTTGTTATAAATATTAACATATTATTTATTTAATAGATACTCTAAATATTGGTTGTGCTTAATGCATGCTTTATTCTTGGAGAGATACCAGATGGTTTATTTTAGTCAGCTCATATATTAACACATTAGAAGTGAAACTGCCTTGTCTGCAGTAAGATTTTTTTAGCAAGGCTAGTTAATAGAAACATTAAAAGGTACATATTCCTAAGGACAGTGAAGAGTAAAAGTTTAGTATAGAGAAGGGGACAGATTTTAGTGTATGCAATGCTAAACAAGTTAAGACCTGATAGGGAGCTTAGTCTTCATTTGTGTGTACATTTTAGCACGTACTAAACGCTTGCCTCTGGGTTTGCAGTGTGAGTTCTGAGTCATGTGGCCTGAGATAAAACTGATAAGGACTTAAGAAATTGCAATTAGTTTGTCCTTCCTAAGCTATCGTGTTGCTTCTGCAGAATATCTGTGCCCATGCTTTGGGCTCCAGAACGTCTAGTTTGGCATTTTAGCTCCTATCACAGACAAAATGCATTGGGTTGAGATGTGGAGCAAGCAAGTCTCCATCTGCTGCTTAAGCTGGAGAAATAGTGACTTCCAACACAGAATGAAGGAGACAGCCAGGACTGATAACATCTTAAACCACCACAGCCTGGTCTGATCAGAGTCCACCTCTTGGACCCCAAAGCTAATGGCAGTGTGGGCCATTGATAGTGAAATGCAGAGACAAACAGAAGTGTTACTGTTAACTCTCTGCCTTTAAACAGGACTCAGCAATGTTTAATTAGCTGGTTAATAGGCAAGTCCCTTTTAACGTGTGTTTTCCAATTTAAATCACAAACTTACCTCAATAGGTTTGTTCACAGACATTCTAAGAATGAACTTGTTGGGAATATAAATTGAAGAGTGGCTTTTAAGTGGAAAAAAATCTTTTTTTTTTTTTTTTTTATTAACAAAGAGAACAGAGACTCTTTGTCAAGCATTTGTCTTACCACATGTGTTTTCCTACTTTTATGTTTCTCATGCATCCTTTAGAATGACACACAGCATCGTTCTAAGCACGGCTCTGTGGTTGACCATAGTCGGGTAGGTTAAAAAGAAAATGTGAACACCATATCTAATAGATGCATTACGATTTTTTTGTTTTGTTTTGTTTTCCTTTTATGGCCTTTTTTTTGTTCATTATTTTATTGTCTGGGAGAACTGCTTGCTTCAGCCCATAAGAGTCATCAAGTCAAAACTAAAAAATATCTGTTAAATGAAATAATGCACTTTTTTTTTCCCCTCTACCCTGAAATATCACTTCTTTTAAAGTGCATATCTGTAGTTGTTTCTTCACAGTATTTCCTACTGTGGACAAGAATAGAATGGATGCAAGACATCTGCTTGGTCTGTATGGCAGCCATATGCCTACAGCAGGAGAAAATTTGCTCTGTTAGCACCGTTTCTGTGAAGTCCAACTTCTGTTAGTTTGAAGATTAGAATACAGCTTTTGTATAAAACACCTCACAAGATCAAGCACAAGTAATTAATTTATTTAAATCATTACCTAGCATGGACACAGATCACCTTTTGGAGAGGGACCCTACTCAAGAATGATTTGACATAGATAACTGACCAAGCAATTCTACTTATTTCTGTCTCTGCCTTTTTATTTCATATATATTCAAGTATGGAAGTTCCCAGGTCCATATGAAATGTATATCATCGCATGATCTGAGGCAACTTCATTTTCTTACGGAACATGTAGGAAATCTTTCTCGGCATGTCTTTTAAACTTGTTTTATTTATTTTAGTATTGTGCTCATTTTGTGGTTTTATTGTCAGAAAGGGGAGTATTTAAATTGTTTGCAAGGTATGCAGATTTACAGCTGGAATAAAAATAAACATGAACAATTTAAAAGCTCAGCTGCTTCAAAAACTTCCTTGATGTCATTGTTGACACCAGTTTATACTGTGTTTTTTTTTTTTAAAGTTTTGACTGAGATTTAAATTCAACAGGAAAAAAAACCCCAGTATTTTAAAAGTTACTGTTTCTGCATACTTGAAATTCAGTCAGAGAGGCAGTAACAAAATCTCAGAGCTCAGTATTTCCTTACTGGTGGGGGTGCAGAGTGGCCTTTTCGCCTGCTCACCTTGCAGAAGGCCTTTGGCACATCCCAGGATGGTATCTCCAGTCCTCTTGGAATACAATGTAAAAAGAGAGAGATCAAAATATTAAGAGAAAACCATTCAAATTGCTGGTAGAGAAAGACTGTTTATAGTCCAGAAGACTCCTTTGATTTTTTTTTTTTTTTTTACTGTTGACTTGGTGGAGATTGAAGTAGCTTCTTGTCTGGAATTGTTATAATAATCTATTTTTACAGCATTCTAATTTCTTCCTTCTTATGCTGAGCACAATTTGAGGGCCTTGGGGTTTATGGAACTTTTTTTCTTCATCCGTATTGCTCTATCACTAATGGACTTTTCTATGCTTACACTGCCAGCATATACTGTTAGTTACAAAAAGTTAAAAATCAAAGCAGTAAAAGTGAATTAGTATCATCTAGATGCGACTTATCACTATTTGCAGTGTATGTTAGAGATCTGCAAATTACAACAGGTTTTGCAAATTATATTTGGTATATAGTAGACCAGATGCTGTAACTTTATGGTGGTGCAAATTAACTGAAACCTGATGCTTTATATTTCTGAACTGTGTTTCATTAGACTTGAAGCTACGCAGTGTCAGAGCAGTCTTCTGTACTGCTTGGTCCCTGCTCTGAATAGTGCTTTGGGGGCTTGCGTGGTTGCACATCTTCATAGCATTGGGATCCTGATGTGTTCTAGAAAATGCTGCTGTTGTGAGTTGCTGCTGATTATAAATAACCTGCCAGTTTGCAACTTCTTCAGGAAACCTGGAAACATGCCATTCAGAAAGCTAAGCACATGCCTGATCCATGGGCAGAGTTCCATCTTGAGGACATTGAGACGGAACAAGCCACTCGTTACAGGTCTGTGGGTCTTTCTGCTTTCAGTGCTTGTGTTAAACAGAATGTGGTGGTTTATGCAAGGGCTGTGTTTGTGTAGTGCAGAATATGTTTAATTACATGGCTGAAGAACTTTCAGTAATGCCCAAAGTGAGTGTGTCTTAACTGAATCTCCCAAGAATATGTAAATACTGCACATCATCAAAAAATAAGCCTTTCAGCAAACCAGTGTCACGCTTTTTCTCTCTCTCCCACCTAAGTAGTATTTATGAGTTTCACCATGTAGACAGGAAACAAGGCTGAGAAGTATTTTCTAGTTGATCTATTAACACTGTAAACTTAATCTAATAAGGAAATGAATCCCAATAAAGCAGCATACTTAGTTTAAACAGTTTAGAGGAAAAAAAAAAACAACATAACATTCTGTGCCTTTCCTAAAATAGCAGTTTCACTGTTGCCTGTCCATGCACTATTGCTGCATGTGGCTGGAATTTAAATCCTTATAAAGCCCAGAATAGCTCAGCATGGTGTACGTGCTGAAACTGAGTTTGGCCCTTAAACTATTCTCAGTGCTTTAGCACGGGCTTTGCCAAAACGTTTACCCTACTGACACAGGTTTCTGGGTGGAAGGGGTAGGAGTTAGAGGCCAGTTAATTACCACTTAGCATCAGCATTTGGGGAGGCCTCCCTTCCAATCACGTAACGCTGTCACGCAGCGTTCTTCTTCCCCATAGACTGCATCTGTCCCTGGTCAGCCACACAGTCCTGAAATAGTTTGCATATTTTAAAATACAAATAAGTGATAATATTGGTTTAGGGCTACTCGAATACCCTGTTAAAAAGAGATGGCTCTGGTATTCCTATTTCCACCTCTTTTGTCTGCTGCAAACTGGGTTGATACAGAATATATAAGGGGGTATATGGGGTGTCTGCATGCATGAAGTACTCTGTGCAGGTCAGGGAAATCAGGCTGGAAACAATCATGTGTTGGTGACTCAACTGCTGTGGTCTCAGTTTGGCTTTTACTGTGTTGGGAGTTAAGGGGGTGGGGAGAAACCACAGTCATACTCTTTGTATTATCATAGGGTTGTGCAGAGGCTTGCTGCTCCCTTGGTGCAGTGTTGGGCAGTTCTTGGCCCTGCTGCTTTCCACAGCCACAGCTGGTGCTGCGTTCTGCTCGCATCCTCCACAGCCCTGCAGCAGATCCCCAGCCAGAACCAGGTGTATGCAAGCTCAGGGTTGGGGGAGACAGCCTGTCCAGTGTGTAGGGCTTGGTAAGGCTCTTTCCGCCTACAGTGTGCTGCCTAGGCATCACAGAGGAGATTTAATGTCAAAGCAGGTAAAGCCTAATTTGTAGTGTTGTAAAAGTTTAGCTTCTGTAGCGGAATCTCTTCATTGTCAGTAGGATTCAGTGTCTCTTCAAAGAGCTATACATATTTCTTCTTTCCCACCCAAAGTAAAGAGGGCAGGAGTGTGGTGGGAAGACTAGAATTTTTTGTGTTGGAGTGGCAGCAGCGCTTTTTAGCAGTCAGCTAGAGATAAGGAAGGGCAGGTGCTGGGGACAGGAGGATTTGGGTCCCCCCTGCTTTTGTCTGAGGCACATCTCCTGATTTTGCAGGTACAATGCAGTTACTAGAGACTGGGTTGAAGATGAAGTCCTCATCAAGATGGCTTCACAAGTAAGATCAAGCTGTTCTTCACGTTTATTAGCAGCCAAATTTGTCGTTTCCTTCCTGTTACTGAATAGTGGTAGCAAGATGTTTTTGTCATATAGACGTTTTGAAGTCTCAATGTCATTCTTTTCTCCTACCTCTCATTTTTCTCAGCTCATCCATTATGTTTTGCTGTCCCAACAGCCTTTTCTCCCCAGAGTAGATTAGAACATGGAGTCAGCCCTTCCCCATCAGCAACATGAGGCATTTGTTCCTTTCCCCATCGATCTCCCTCCCATTTCAGCCTTCCCATTTCCTGCTGGCCTCATCTCCCTGCCTGGCAATAGTCCTACTATTTTGCATGCTTCCAAATAATTTCTGCTCTTAGGATGAAAACAGACTGAATTTTCAGTATGTGAGGGTAGAAGCTACTCTCACTTCACAGTTAAGTCATGGGGTTGGTGGTGTGTTGGAGTCGCCTCGCTCTGTGCTACTGACGTAGTATCTGGCATCTGGGGAGGTGATGCTCTGTTTGGCACATCCTGTATGGAAGCCTAAATGCGGAGAGTATGAGGTCTGCGAAGCCAGCTTCTCTAGACAGTCACAACAGAGCTGACTCCAAACTGGAGAGAGAATTTGAATACCTCCCTTAAAAGACACATCATGTCTGCTCCATGGGATATTGTGGGGGGGCTTCTTCCCAATGTCTTTTCCCCAGATTTCTACTTACATTGCTAGTGGGTTTTCACTTTTCTTTGAGGAGACAGATATTGTACAGAGCCTATTTGAGAACTGCTTTCTGCAGGATATAAAGGGGGAAGACATGGTTGTGTCTCTTACTGGTTAGAAATTAACTTTGTGGAAATGACAATGCTGTTTTTTTGGTTTTTTTCTTTTTTTTTCCTCTAGCCTTTTGGCCGTGGAGCAATGCGAGAGTGTTTCAGAACGTAAGTATTGCTCTATCTGTGTTGGCCTGCATGCGGTATTTCTTCTGTGGTGACTGGAATTTCACTTAGGTGTGGTGGAAATTGTGTAAAGTGCGGGTCCCTATAAGCTCTCTGCTGTGCCTTTCTAAAAGGCATAGCTGAGGGGTTTATTCCTGTTTGTGTGATTCCAGCCACAGCACAGGGAGTGGGGTTCAGAAAGCAGAACATTCTCTTAAGGGAAGCACAAGCAAGCATGATGCAGGCATCCAGTGAGCTTTCTTTGGAACGTCAGGCCATTGCCTGTACTGGAACTGCAGTGGGATGGATAATGTGCAATCATGTCCAGTTCCAGCAAGTATAATCAGCCTATCAATTAGCAATTCATAAATTTATGCTATTTCCACCATCTCTTGGAGGCAAAATACTCATACAAGTACAGAAGCAGGTACTTTGTTTCTGTGTTCCTAGTGTGCTAAAATATCTTGGAATTTGATATGAGGCTGTAGGTGCATGCACCCTGAAGGCCAACGTGAAGCCTATAGTTAGACAGAGAAAAGGGGAAAGAATAGTTGGATGGTGCAACTCAACTCGGAAAGCCTCCTTCGGTAAAGAAGGTTATCCTCCCAGAGTTTACTTTGGATTGCACGTACCAGAATAGTCCTGTTCTGAGTAAGGCAGAGCTTGAGTACTAGCAGTTACTCCTTCCAGAAGGGTAAACTGTGGGGGAAGACAGAGGAGGAACTCTTCTTTCCTAAGAGAGTGTCAGCAAATATGGTTGCGAGCATCAGCATCTAGCTATAAATCAGTTTGTGCTAGAAGAGTACCCCACCCTTTCCAGGTTCTGGAAATGAATGTTTCCTGGAAAATGTGCTTGTGCGTGTTTAAGGCTGCTCCCCCCTCTTTCTAACTGCAGAATCCAGCGAAATGGCGTTTCACTTCTGGAAAGAGAAACTCCTGAATGACAAAACGTGATGTTTTGAATTTGAGGAAAAAGGGGAAAAGTAACCCCTCAGTCCTCCAGTTTTGCATTGTTTCAGTATCAGTTCGTGCTGGTGGCTCTGTTCTTGCAAAGCCAGATAGAGACAGCAGTGAATGAAGCCTAGGAAGTAACAAATCTTAGCCTGCTGACATTGCTGCTGACGTTGCTTTTAGCTCTTGTTTATAAATGACCAAATTCCCCTTTACAGAGTATCTTGAGTAGTGCCATAAACAGAAATTTATCTTTGCAGCTTTGCCTTAACGTCTTGTACAAAGAAAACATAACTTGTATGGCAGCTTCCTACTCCTGGATTTTCCATAACTTTCAGTGGTGCACTGATATTTCCCATCTGGAGCGCTCTCTTCTAGATTTTTGCAACTATGCAAGTGTTCAGTCATTACTGTGACAGCATTAACTGCACTTGGCTCAGTGAACTTCAGAGAGTTGGTTTTGGAAGAGCACATAAGCTGGCTTGTTTTATGCAGAGAAACTTGTTTCTTCAGAGAACTGGAAGAGTTTCAAATCCTGGCCGAAATTCTTACCTCACTTGCTTGTTCCTTCTTTCCAAGGCCTGTGTTGCAGTGACTGTCTGCCTATCCCTGCAGGAGGACAGACAATCTGGAGTTGCTTTGCCTTCAGAGTGTCTCTGTGTTTCTGCCTCTGCATCAAGGTCTTGGGAGGGAGAGAGGAAAGGAAGGAGGGGAAGCGGTGAGACTGAGTGCTGCTCCTTGGTTCTTAAAATGTACAATTTGCCATGGCACCAAGAAAGGCTCAGAGAACCATTGTTTGTTACCAAGCAGAATACGAGAACTGCTCAGTAGCCAGCCATGCCTTACTCTACATCTTCATACTTCTCCTCCCCCTTCAGACTGGCTTGGCATTGCTGAGGTCTCCAGCAATACCACTTCTGCCACAGTAGAGGGTTTTTATACCTTTTTGCCATCTTTTCTGATGAATTAATTTCTTGGGGAGTGGGGGAGGAGAATTGCTTTCCCCCTTTTGTGCCATATAAATGGATGAGGTTGCTCTAGGAAGGAAGACTGCTTTGAAATTCTTGATAGCAGTGGGGTTTTTTCCCCCTTTGACTTGAATATTGGCATCTTCTGCAACCACTGGGTATCTGCTTAATCCATTTGTTGACAGCCAGCAGATTCTCTTTTGTCAAAGTCCTAAAGTCCTTTCTCCCCCCTCCCCCTTCCTTTTTCCCCCCCTCTTGAGAGATCTGTGGATTAAACATTTTCACATCAACAAAAGTTAAAAGCTACATAAGAACAACTGTCATGTGCAGTTTTCCTTCTGGGGTTTTGGGCGTTATTAAGTAGTCACCCCTGTGTGTCGAGAAGGCAGCAGTTTGCTCTTATCACAGGAGAGGGTTTTCTCCTCTCAGTTCATGTTTGAAAGGCCACTCCCTGTTAACTTCTACAGAAGGTAATTGTTGGCATTAGAACAGGGCGTTGAGGTGGCACCAACCCTCCATACTCTGGGTTTGAGGGGAGCAGGGAGGGAAAGGAAAAGAGAAAGGGAGGAAGTTCAGAATAGAAGTAGCTGCAGTCAAACCAAACGGGCACTTTGGCACATCCCAGCCATTCATATGGGATGTTGCTTTTTCCCTTGCCCCCTACCTGTGCTTCACTTTTCAGGTAGAATATCTGGTAAATGACTGAGGGTAATGCTGATCTCAGGGCCTGGATCTGTCCGTGCAGGTAAAGAAATGGGGAAGATTGAATTAAAATTCTTGGTTTTCCTTTCATCAGTGATTGATTTGTCTTTCAGGAAAAAGCTGTCCAACTTCTTACACACACAGAACTGGAAAGGTGCCTATAACTATGTTGCCAAGCAATACATAGAGAGTGTGAGCAGAGATGTGTATTTTGAGGATGTCCGACTTCAGATGGAAGCAAAACTCTGGGGAGAAGAGTATAACCGGCACAAGCCACCAAAACAGGTACATTCAAAGATCTTGCTAAGCAAAAATGCGGTCTTGCTCTCCTATTAGAGTAGTTTTCAAATGAATGTGGAGGGAATTACTTGTTCACATTCCATTAAATTTAATTACTTAGATGAATTCTTCTGCCCTACTGTGTTTTGCATTAAATGGTAGCTGACTTTTAACGAAGTAAATGCAGAAATTGCTTTATATTTCCAGAATTAGGGGCTGTGTGTTTGTGAATGTCTGACTGTTCTCAGCTATTGACTGAAGACCAAAATAAAAATGTTTGTATTGCTCTTTCTGATATTTGCCCAGCTGCCTTTGAGATAACCAAAGATGTCACAGAATTTATTGCCAGCAGCAGTCTCAGCAGGCACTTAACTGCTAGTGCTCCAGGAAGGTAGATGCTTAAATCTTGTAAACCTGTCTAAACACCTTACTAGCATTGGCTTTTGAGAAGAGCTGGAGACCTGAGTAACTTTACGAAGCTATTGAAATACAGACTTCTGAGGAGTAGTCAAGAATTTTCCACAAAACGACGATACTGTGGCTTTGTTTCTTTTAGGTGTCTCAGTGACAATACTGACAATACATTGTGTTAAGTGCAAAGCGTTAAGATGTATGAAACTCCCAGGTGGATGGATATCAGACTGGGCTCAGGGGTGTCAAGAGAAGTTCCCATCCTCTGTGCTAGGAATGTGCGTAAACACATAGGATTCGGGAAGAGGTGGTTCTACTGCTTTGCAGGCTGTATTTCTGGTTCTGGGGTCCATACTAAACATTCTGTACAGCCAACACAGCTTTGCGCTTTTCCATGCTGGTAAGTTGGATAGCTGCTGGTCAAAGCTGGCCATCGTGTCCTGGACAAAAACACCTCCAGCAGCGATCAGCTTGTCAAAAGACAAGAAACTAAAGTGCAGGGTTCAAGGACTGCAACTGTCATTCACTCCCAGCCAGTAGCTCCTCTTTGTTGAGTATGTCCATGGTATGTATCAATGAAGCTGTCAAGTCCCTTTAATCCGCAGCTGGTACTGAATGCCTGAGTGTAAGTATGACTTCGAATGAGTGGAAAAGGTGGCTTGTAGGAAGGGTGCTATACATGTACTGTGGTATCTTGGTTCCTGCTCTTGGATCTATGACAGACTGTGTGACATGTGACAGATGCTTGGGTCAAGAAGTATGCTTCAGTGTGGGGGCCTTAACAAGTTAATAACCAAAAGGAGTGCTTTTGAATATCTGGACTATGTGCATTGCCTCCCATATGAGGGTTAGTTAATAACTACCTATCTCACAACAGCAAGGTGAGGTGTGGAGTGAAGTACACAGCAAGGAATCTAGAAATCTAGAAGTTTTAAATGCCATGTGGGGGAAAAGATGTAAACAAAGTGAGAGTTGTGATGGTTTCTCCTTTAGGAATGTGTCTGGGAGGAAGGAGAGGTGACGCAGGATACAAAAATATCTGAATGGTAGAAGTCTTCAGTCCTTCTCTGAAAAGGCATTTCTTCAAGTTGTGCAGTAGTTACTGTATGTTTTGCTTTCTGGGTATTGATTCTTTGCAGGGTACTCTTAAGGTGTGCACAAAAATAAAACAGAAAGCCAACACTTACGAAGAACTTTTCAGATGGATTTGTTGCAAAAGTGAGCTGTTTTGAAGTGACTGCTTTTAATTTATGGAATTGCTCTGATAACCTAAGCAGCACGTGACTCTTCCCCCACCCCCTTGTTAAACAGATCTTTGCAATTGTTCAGCTTCTTTCACTGGGAAAGTTTTCACAGCTGGAGGGTTCACACACGCTTTGATCTGAAGACAGTATTCTGTTAGTCATTTTTTTATCTCCTTTCCCCCCCCAGGTGGATATAGTACAGACCTGTATTATCGAAATGAAGAACAGACCTGGAAAGCCTCTTTTTCATCTGGAACATTACATTGAGGGCAAATACATCAAATACAACTCAAATTCTGGATTTGTGCGAGATGACAACATTCGTCTTACTCCGCAAGTGAGGCTTTGTTTAATACTTTCCATAGAGTCTGCTGCAGGGAGTTTCTTGGCTCTATCCAGAGGTCTTGCATTACTGCCAAGAAAGGAAACTGCAGGCTTTCCAGTACAATGCCAAATTAATTTATCTTTTTGCAGTATGTCTGCCCCCTATTTGGGGCCTGTGCTTTCAAGCGCTGAGTGCTTCTTTATTGCATTTCAGTGTCAGTTGATTTTAGTTGAGTTGAACATGGTTAATACTCTTTGGAAACCTTAAGTCCTTTGACTCTAATTATAATTGCAGGCATTGACATATTTCAGGCTGTCTTCAGATTAAGGCAGGGAGAGAGACCTCTCATATACTATGTACTAAAAAGTCTTCTGATGCCTCATGTAATAAATAAAAGGAGGTGGCAGATATCCAATACATGTAAATAAAATCTAGTCCATTTGCATATAAGAATCTCTTTTTTTCAGCTATGAATAGGTGAATCTGAGACTGCATATAGGAATACAAGTACAGATTTCAAGTGACGCCTGGATCTTGTAAAAGAACTTTAAAATACTGGCAAAAATGCAAAGTGGTCGGCATAGCAAAGCAGTGTTTTACTGGGGCTTGAGGGTTTTGTTCTTTTCATTTTTTTTTCCCCTATTTTTAAGGTATTGTCATGATACTTAATGTAAGCAGAGGGTTTATGTTCTGGGCTGTCTTCTGTACATTGAATCAGTGCTATGCTTTCACAGGTTGGGAACAAAATGTTCCTTGAGATTTGCTGTAGTTAAAATGTTTGTCTATCACCACCAGTCACCTCCCCCAGGCCTGGCAGTGCTTTTTTGGAGGCCTTCCCAGAAGATTCCTAATGTCTCAGCTTTATGCCAAAGAGAAGGGGTTTTTATACCCGATTCTTGAAATGCTGCATTTAAAGAGTACAAACGTACATTTCATTATCTGATACACAAATGTAGAGCCAGATCAGCCATACAGGGGGGACCTCCCAGAGGGCATAGCAGGGGAAGGAGAATTTGTAGGGATGCCCCTCCACCCACAAAATGTGGCAGAGCTTTGCCTGTTGACAGAAGGAAGCAGTGTCCCAGGGCTGCAGAGCTTGGAGATCCACAGGCACAGTCAGGATGTCTATGCAGAAGTTATTCTTCACTGGCTTCAGAGCCCACTGTTGTTACCTCTGCCGGGCAGCTCCCCACTTCTTAAGGTGAAGACTGTAGTGGAAAACAGAATCTCCAGTACCCGAAGGAGGAATAAAGCAATCTCCTCTCCCCCGCATGATCCTGCTGCTGTTTTTCACCCTGCCTCTTTTAGCCCATCTCTGATTTGGGACAGGTTGGAGAAGCAATCTACTACATGCTTTTTAGTCTCTTGTTGCTTTCATCATGGTTTGTACCAGTTATATTTCACCAATAGGGTTATCAGGCTTCTTTGCCCATTTATAAGAGGTGAATATGTGTTGCTGTTTCAGTAGATCAAAGGAGAGTTTTCTCAGACATCTTCTATGGTTCTTCCCAGGCCTTTAGTCACTTCACCTTTGAGCGCTCAGGACACCAACTCATTATTGTTGATATCCAGGGAGTTGGAGATCTTTACACGGACCCTCAGATCCATACAGAGAACGGTACAGATTTTGGGGACGGCAACCTAGGTAAAATCGATGATCCTGTTTGACATGCTAATGGATGTTTTATTTTCTCTTCCCAGTTGTCTGCTGAGCAGCCACCACACAGCTGAGTGAGCAGGCACATTTCTGAGGGTCTTGCAAACAGCTGGGGAAGTTCTGTTGTAAGGAGTCCCTGAACAGGGCAGCTGTCGCACAAGGGCAGGCTTAAAATGAGAGCTGATCTTGGCTCATGTCTCCTGGACTACTCTTAAACCAAACAAGTAATGAAATTAAGTAGCTTCCTACAATGTGAGAGCAATAATCATGGCCTGTAATTTCCTTGCCACATTGCAGGAATGGATACAGCTGAATGTAGGGAGATAAGCCTTGCATATTTTTAAATCTCCAAGTGTCCATACATGAAGTTGTTCGTAGGACATAGGGAGTTTTGTAAGTAGGATCAAATTTAGGCATGTTTCCTGATGTTGCAGCCAAATTAATTTGTTGTTATATCCTGTGCGTACATAGCTTTTGAAGATTTTGCAGACTTCCTTTTACTCTCTCTGCAAGAGAGAATGAAAAGCCCTTATAGGTGTTAAAATAAAATGGAAGTGGGTTGAGCTGTGTGTGCTACAAAGCACTTTCTTTCTCTCTCTTTTGACTTTTTAGAAAATGCTTTGGACTTCTAGATTTTAATAAGTAAACAGTCATGTAAACGTCAAGTAAACCTGTTCTTTACTTTTTTTTAATGCCGTAGGTGTTCGAGGTATGGCCTTGTTCTTTCATTCTCATTTCTGCAACAAGATTTGCAAAAGCATGGGGCTTACACCATTTGATCTTTCATCCAAAGAGAAAGATGCCTTGGATTGTAATAAAAAATTGCTTGTAAGTGCCTGATGAAAGAAGTGTAACTAAGCAGTATAGCTGGTTTATTCTAACTTTAAAAGCTCTGTAAATAAAACTGAAATACGCTATTTACATGGCAAATAAAACCACCTTAATCACTAATGTTGCAGTTTAAAAATACAGCAATTTAAAGCTGACTTATCCATATTTGTCTCTGAATTAATGCTGTAGCTTTAATTAATAGGGAACCTTGGAGCACATGTATATTTAGGACCAAGTATATCTTTGAGTGCTGAAATCATTAGTAAGTTTTGTATCTTACAAACCTAATTTGGGGAGAAAAAAAGAATAGAACTGCTTGTCTTTAACTGATCGCAGTTTCAACCGGTATTAGTGGGAATGGGACTTGATGAAACGCTCTGAATGAAATTCAGTCCTAAACAGAACTCTCTCTGACTGTAACAATGCCAGGACTTGATATTTTGTTGGGGTGTAGAACTTTTCAAAGCAAATAGTTATGTATACATGTGTGTATTTATACCCCCCCTTTTGTAGAGGACTCGTAATAAACATCCATGTCATTATGTAGCATGCTTAGAATACAGAGAAGCATTACTCATGGAACTTTCTTGTTAATTTGCCAAGGAATCTGCTCAGACAATTCTCCGTGGCACAGAGGAAAAATGTGGCAGCAGCCGGGTGAGAACAGTCTCTGGTAGCCGGCCTCCTCTGCTCTTCCGTCTGTCTGAAAACTCTGGAGATGAAAGCATGAGTGATGTAGCATTTGACTCTCTACCCTGCTCTCCTTCCTCAGCAACCCCTCACAGCCAAAAGGCGGACATGCTTAGTGAGTGAGCCTCATACATAACTTCCTTGGGGGTTCCTGAACATTTGGCAGTGACTTGTTTTATTTTGTTGGTTTTGAACACAACAGCATGTTGCATTTAGTCCAGAATACTTGTCTCTAGTATTCCTCTTTGAGCAGAGAAATAAAATTAAAAGTACTTTCAGGTAGATAATTAATGCACAGATGTATCTGTGAAAAAACTGCGGTAAAATGACGGTATCTAGAACTTTCTCCTCAAGCATGTTATCCTTACAATAAGAAGTAATTATTTTTCTTCCTAGATTGGCCTGTGTTCAATGAAGTAGATAACTTGGTTCACAAAGACTATGATCAGCTTGATAATCAAAGGGTGAGTGTCTTTCCAACAGAAAATAAGACTGCAGTTCCTTAATGAATGTGTCTTTAAAGGACTGCCTGAAATCTTTGTTCAGTAAAAGCACATAAAGGTGCTCTACCTGCTTTCATTGCTGCAGGTCACGTTACCTGCATGCATATGCTGTTTCTGATAAAGGAAGACCATTTTATTTTAAAATAGTATTCTCCCCTCCCCCCCACCCCTTGTTTGCTGCCCCCCCCCCCCCCCCCCAAAAAAAATTTATTTGCATCTGGTATATTTTAACAGATAATTGAAGTGTGTGTCTGTTCCCCTGCCTGCACGTTGTGTCTTTGGCACTTGTGCCAGCCACTGTGGTAGAAAAACTAAACAGAATCCCTATTGATTAGGCCTCTGCAAATACTGGTACTGTGGGATGTTAGAGAACCTCACCTGAGGAGACTGCAATAAGTTTGCAGTGGGAATTTTCCAACACTAGGGCCTTAGTACCAGGGGCTGTCAGTTACTGTTTTATCTTTTAACTGGCTACCACTGAAGACTGAAAACTGTATTAAGTGGACTCTCAGTTTGATAAAGTATTGTCATGGTTTAACCCCAGTCGGCAACTAAGCACCACACAGCTGCTTGCTCCCCCTCCCTAGTGGGATGGGGGAGAGAATCAAGAAAAAAAAAGTAGAACCCAAGGGTTCAGGTAAAGACAGTTTAATAGGACAGCAGAGGAAGAGAAAATAGTAATAATGATAAAAGAATATACAAAGCAAGTAATGCACAATGCAATTGCTCACCACCTGCTGACCGATGCCCAGCCAGTTCCAGAGCAGCGATTGCTGCCCCCCGGCCAGCTCCTCCCAGTTATATGCTGAGCATCACATCATATGGTATAGAATAGCCCTTTGGCCAGTTTGGGTCAACTATCTCAGTCGTGTCCCCTCCCAGCTTCTTGTGCACCTGGCAGAGCATGGGAAGCTGTAAGGTCCTTGACTAGTGTAAGCACTACTTAGCAACAACTAAAACATCAGCTTGACTAGTGTAAGCACTGCTTAGCAACAACTAAAATATCAACATTATTCTCATCCTAAACCCAAAACACAGCACTATGCCAGCTACTAGGAAGAAAATTAACTCTATCCCAGCTGAAACCAGTACAAGTATGTGAGTCCTTGATTTTTTTTTTTTTTTTAATGTATCTAAAAGAGAACACAAGCTTGGACAGTACCTTCTGGATCATTAAGTCCTGTTCTGTCTGTCAGGGGTAGCTGTTGTGGTTTAACCCCCGCCAGCAGCTAAGCACCACGCAGCCGCTCGCTCCACCC